CTTAAAAGGATTTGACTTCAAGTCATATCAAATTTAAAAAAAAAAAAAGTTGTCTGTGACCTAATCTACTGAGTTTGCTTTTGTCAACTGATACACGAAACAAATTCGTATATCGTGTTTTGTGCAGAGTGTTTACTTAGTTAGTGTTTGTTTAGTTCGTGATTAGTGAAAAAATAATTAAATCTTTTTGACAGGACGAAGTCTGTCGGGTCAGCTAGTACGAAATAAAAATATCTACGTTTGCTTGTATTTTAATGATTTTAAGTAGTAAATGCAACTATTCTAATTACAGAACAATAAATTTCAGTCCAAATAAGAGAAAAAAAACGGGTTCATATAAAATGCTTATTATAAACTCGGACAGTTATTATAAATTATAACATTCCACGTTTCGTACTACTACAATATGAAGATAAAATCTCAATATATACTCACAACGTTAACTTTTAATATGTAGCTGTACCCAGTTATGTGAACCATGAATGAATTATGAATGTCTGCGTTCTTACTATGAGAATTTATAACACATTTCCACAAAAGAACGATTTTACATTTGAGGTCCGTTTGGACGATGAAGATTATTTATTGTAAGCTGTAATAGCTTTCGCCAGCGGCTTTGCCCGCGTGGTCCCTAGGGAAATGTTTAGTGGGATGAAAAGTATCCTATTATCTTATTCAGCTAATACCCTATCTGTATACCAAATTTCATCAAAATCCGTTCAGTAGTTTCGGCGTGATTGACGGACAAACACCCAAACAAAGAAATTTTCACATTTATAATATGTATAGGATAGCTGAGAAGGAGGAGCTTGGTGGTGTAATGGTTAGCGCACTCGGTGTACGATTTGGCTGTTAAGCAACTTTCGTTGCCAAGTGACCAATATTCCATCTCGAGCTTTTCCGTGCTTCGAAAGACACATTCGTCGTTGTTCCCGGCTGCATCTGTTATTTAAAACCCCGTACTGGGCCTGCGTGATGGGTCATGGCTCATTCTTTCTATTCGATTAAGAGGCTGGTGATGATGATGATTATGATATAGCTGCACTAATTTGTTTTATTTTCTTAAGGTCAGTTATGAATCTGTCAGTCATTTTCTTTTATTTATATACACAATAAACATTTCACGGGTTTGTTACTAGACCAGGACACTTTTACAAAAGACCAAGATAAATTGCTAGATTTAAATGAAAGCCCCTCACTTAATTTTCTGCTTAAATTAGGCGTGCAACCTTTGTTTCCACTTTCCCCTTACTTTTAGTTTTATTTATTATCTCTTAACTTTTGTCTTTGAAATTTCATTCAGCATGATATTTAGTACAATTTGAGTATTTAATAGTGGATTTGAATGTGACATTCAAATAAATCCAATACCAATTAGTTCATTGATTTTCAGTGAATGTAGTGCTATATTTGGAATAGCCACATAACGAAATTTTGCAGACAGAGTAGCTCTAACTTAATGCTATAAGATATATCAATAAAACCTTTATGTTCACGTTAACATTCATTTACACCCGTACATAGTTGAAGAGCCTGTTTTCTTTGTGTTTATCTTTGCTGTCAGAGCTTCCTATTTTAGCTTTATTCTTATAGGTGTCATCGTAGCTAGGTCCGTACCATTTCTTAAATAAGAATTAGAACTACGGATGATGTAACTTCAACACTGCTTACTGACATATCAATTAACGCGCACCCGTTCGACAAAGTAGCAGCACCATCTAATATGGTGGAAACTCTTTTATGAACGTTTTTACGATGTCCCGCGACATATTTATCGTCGTTTGTTTTACGGCATCAAATTAAGGAGAATGGCAATGCCTATGTGATTTCAGATTTTGTTTAGAGATTCTAAGTTGTCGATTATTTGTAAGATTGTACACATTGTTGTGTTGTTTATAATTATGAATTCTTTCATGTTTTATCGTTTTTCTGTCTTCACTGAAAACTATATCTAAAGTGACAAAAATAACTAGTTTTAATATTTTTATTAGATTCTAAAGATAATACTTATAGCCTTCATTTTATAGGATTTTAGTATATAACTTGAGTGTATCTATGTATTTCCAAAATTTATATAACAAAATAAATAGTGAAACTATGACTTAAAAAGGGAATTAACTCAAATATACTGAGCATATACGTATTTTTCTGTTTACTGAGCATATACGTAACGGATTTGATATCGTAACAATCTTTTATGAGATAACGTTTAGACGAAGATCTACATATCATGTTATAAGTGACACGCTAGGTATAATTCCTATCACGATTTAACAAAATTCTGATCCATTATACTCGTATAAGCTAAAATTATAAAAAAAAACATCAATATTTGTTATCTGTGTAAAAGTGGAGACTTTTCAAATCCAATTAGGCATCAGAATGTGGCCATCAGCTTAACTGCAATATCAACTCCTAAGTTTTTTCGTTTTCATCGATACGTCGTCGGCGGTCGTTGACGTCTAGAAATCAATATCGACTACTTTTATGATGTTATGTAATATATGTACTATTATATGAAGTTTTTTATATCGAGAAATTTATTTTATCGACGTTATTGTTATTTTAACTCTTCGTTTTGTTGTTCATACGAAATGGTTTTTTTTGTGAATTCTAAATGGTAAAGTATTATTGATTCAGTGAATCAAATGCTTTAACAACAGCCAGTAGTGTCTAACAATTTAGACCACATATTAATGCGCTACTATTAAGTATCTAATTAGTATTATAGATTCTCCTATGTCTTCCATCGCCATTAGCATAAGCTTAAGAGCAAGCTTATTAAGCCCTTGTCCTACTTTTCGCAATAGGTTTTTATCACATCAACAATATTTTGCTTTGTTAAAAATTCTTTATTTAAAACATATTTGCCATATCGTACGATTTTTTTGACAATATTACGGACTTCGTTTGTTTTTCAAATTATCTTTTTCTGTAAATGGAAAGTGGAATTTTTCGTCGTTTAAAAATGACAAGAGTATTCGTAAATTAAATGTATATTATATTCTTTTCAAGTCAGTTTTGCATATGTTTTAAACTTTTTTCATTAGATTGTATTATTCTAGTAGTAGCCAGAGCCTGTGTCCATGACCTTTAGGCATATCTAGATGTTCGACCTTCGTCACATGTTTCAAACCATGTTTCCGATTCCCCGATTTTCCCCGTTCACTGTGAATATTCCATTTTGCCTCTAGATTTTCAACAGTTCGTTAGATTATTCTGCCACTGCGTAAAAGCTACGCCCTGGGTCGGCACAGACGTTGCCAATTACTAAAATCGGAAGCCGAAATAGCTGTATTGATCCGTTGCACCCTGGATTGCACTTGCAGTAATTTATATGGTTGGGGTGTTTGCATCATAGTTATTACTCACCTTTATTTCGAGATATGTAAGGTGCATATTTGGTTAGTTCACTATCCATTGGGGGTCCGTAAGTAAGGGGGTTTGCCCTACGTGTAACATGCATTATTGCGTGATGTATATTTTTTGTTTGAGACTTGTTATTCGATGGAGTTTCTCCAACTGGTAGTGCGTCAAATATAATTTCGATTATGTTGTTAGAAATGTTACTTATACTGTCGATAATTGGTGTGCAGTTGCGTGGTTTTAACACTTGAATTATGAAGACATTAGTGGGATTAGGAAAATAATTTTTGAATTTACATATTTATGACAAGGAACATACATATGCCATGGTTTAAATGTCGCTTTTGGTTTCCTATACTTATTCACGAGGCAAGAAGCTCACATTATTTTATCCATATATTTACATCCGAGGGTATTCCAGCACTTGATCTCCGCACTGGGTACTGACTTGGTACTTCAGTATACATTCATATACATGAAGCTTTCGATAGCTCTTGTACATTTTTGTCACCTCTTACACTCGTATCTATTAGTCGACAGAAGTAATTACTTTTGAAAATGTCATAACTTATGCAAATACTTTTAACCAATAAACGAGAATTTGAATGAAGGAAAAACTGTCAATAGCTAATTATAAAATACTAACTTTTGAGAGTTCTTTATTGAGATTATTGTTCATTTGTCTAAAATGAAATCAAATACACACGCGAAATGCCCACTTGAAAGTAGTTTAAAACCAGTCGTATTAGCATTTTGAAAATATGCGAGATTTCGTTTTCGCGGAAACAGTAGACCTGATGGTGTTGATCTTGGATGACATTGATGTCTAATAAAACGGGGCTTAAGTTATGTTAGCAAATAGTTACACAATATCAATCATATAATGTGTTAAACAGAATATGTTCTGAATTAAATGTGTAGGCACCATCGACTCGTTTCCGTTTATCATTATCAATCTTTGTCACTGTACTTTCTGTCGCGTTATAGTTATACTATTCACCTGCCATTGTTGTTTTCACATGTTTTATGATGGCGGCTTTAATGTTTCACGCACGATTACTCATCTACAATACGCTTGCATTGAATCTAATAGCCATCTATTATCTATTATAGTATGTTCGATTCATAGTTAACTTGTATGATTCACAATACATGAAATATTGATACTCATTAATTATGTAGGGTTATACCTTTAGTGAATACTTTTAATGAAATACTTCTATGTATACTTCTAGACGAGCTGTTAAGTACTGAAAAATTTGCTGTAGTTTCAACATAACCCATCACAGTTCTTCTCAAACAGGACTCCAAACTTTGGAACTGGTGGTAGATTACGGTAGCCAGTTTAAATAAATAAGACAAATGTAATAAAAAAAAACAATTTAATAAATGTAAACGTTTCCATAAAATATTAAAAAAATTGATTTGTCCAATAGTATTGTTACTAAATATAAACGCGATGAAACTGTTTAAAAGTTGTTTCAATTATCAAATAAAGGATCCGGAGAGGAATTTACGCACAATACACAGTGTTTTTAAAAGAATTCAATTAAAAAGATGGTTCAACACAGTTGATAATTCTAATTTGGATTTTTTTATTAATGTCTATATAACGATATTTTTTTTTGTTACAGGAAATGGTGTTGGTTCAAAAAAGGTATGTATATAAATTTATACAACGTTGGATGACCAGATATACAATAAAGAACATAAAAACTTAAATAGTAAACAACAAAGAAGAAGCCAATCATAGTTTTCCATAGACAGTAATGGACTGAATGGATAACAAGGCTACTTATAGATACTTACACACACGTTCACACAATAGTGAGTACTATTATAATTACAAGTGTAAGGAAGTACTTTATCAACAATTAATTCGATATTGGAGAAATTACTTTATCTATCTGCTCTAGTCTGTTCTCGAGAACTTTCTGTTAAAAAATGGAAATTTCTGGAGATCATCCAAGTAACCGACTTATCTGTTTTCAAATTGTCGGAGATTTAGATTTTTTTATGTACATTGCTGATTGAATAAAATTTTGTCAACTGAATCGCTTACTCATTCCATAGATCGCATTAATTTATTACTTATTTGATAATGCCAAAAGTTTTAAGACATCCATCAATTTTTGGTTTTGTGTAATGTTACCTTCAACGAATCACCATAGTTTGTTAAATAGATAGATAGTCGATTACTAAAGGCGCTGAAAAGTCAGTTTCTAAACTAGTTAAATGATCTCTAAAAATAATTTCAATATCTTTTTAGTTGGCACAAAGTGATCAAAAGTAACCTGTGGTCTTGTCATAATTTGTTATGCCAAAAGTTCGCGATTTTAATTAAATCTGCTAAAGGAATTGAGTAACCTGAAATTTAACAGTACTCCACGAAAAGTTTCCATTGAAGTTACCTTTGAAAATGTTTATACAGTTTTGTTAGGAATTTTACATAAATGAAAATGTATACAGTTTTGTTAAGACTTTTACAGACTTGGTAGTTGAAAATTTTCCTTTCTTTTGCTCTCTACTGTTATTCTGTCGAGTGAAATGAAATTAAAGTCAATTTTAAAAGTTCTTTATATTATTCTAGGAGCGTCCACTCCAGTTGGTATTCTATCGACATTTTCTACAACCAAGAATAGGGAAAATGGTATCCTACATTACCGTCTTCCCTATTCTTCGTATTGGTGTTTCATTATTAATTATTTACAAAGCTACTGCCAGATATTATGAGGACTCCCAATGACACCTTTACAACACAACTGGTCACTTCATCATTAAAATACTACTTACTCCAGATTATTGCTTTTTCTTAAAAAAAAGCAACATTTCTTATTCGACATTCATTCTTTAACCGAGGAGAACAATAAATAAATTAGATTCGGTTATTCCGAATGAGTACCCGCTTTATTATGAATATCGGATTAGGTCATTGCTTTCCATTTCAAATTTAAGTCACTTTTAAGGTTTTACATATATTATTATGAGTTCAGCAATGTGTACAATAAAGTATTAATTAATCGAAAGCTATATATAAAACTTACTTTAATCATTTCACCATTTGATCGATAATTTGGTGGTGAAACCATTATCTGCATGTTGAACGCCTGCAGCGTTATATTCAATCTATTTTAATGTATTCAGCTGATATCGTTTTGCAGAATAAATATCGAGTGTTCTATTATGTTCTGTATAAATTTACTCGATGGATTCACCCAAGGGTATTTCGGGAATTGCTGTTATTGTTTTCATGTAATTTTGAAAATCATCATTTATCATATCATGTACATAATGATTATTATCAACGTTTTAATTTTACTTTAAGTCGTGATAAACAATCGTGTTTATTTATAGAATTAATATCGCATGTATTGTCTATTTTCCATTCGTTAAGATTTCCTAATAAGATATTATTGTGATGTAATTGAAGGACTGCCATGTATCGGGTAATGAAGCACAGATTTTATAACGAGTGAACGAAGATAAATAGACATTTGAGTGGATGCTTATTACGAGATGTGGGATGATTTAACGGAATGACATGTTGAGAAAAAAATACTTCAAACGGAAATATTCCGAAGATTTACGTTATTTGAATAAATTATTATCTTTAAAGGAAACTAATGTTTTTGCATCCTTGTGTCAAATTTCGTAATACTAGTACAGAACATTTAATAATAACCGCAAGGAGCATTGTTTGCTCACAATCTGAATGATTTGTTCCGATATCTTCAACGAATACCTTTATATTCCATAGTGAAGTATGCGTATGTCAAAGCAACATCTTAAAACAGCGTGAAATGACATTATGTATTATGAATTTATAGCGTTTCAGTTTTTAAATAATTTAATTGTTATTTATAATAAAATTGTAATAAATCTATTTAGCAAATTGCGATTGAGAGAAGATCTGTAAGAAAACAACCGGTGAATGGAAAAATAAAATCTGTTTCGATTTAATATTATGAGACTGATTCGTTACACCTACTTAAGTTGCTTAAATCCAAGTAACTATGGCTTGTACGAATTTCTTGCTTTAACTGCATCTTAGTGTAATTGAAACTTTCGAGTGTTTGCCTATTCAAGTCGGATTTCATCGATTTATTGATTATTGATGTTCGTTCGTCTTTGATTCCCATTTGCATACCTTCTCTCCCGGCGGAGGGGAGGGCCTTGTTAATTGATTCATGCACGCGTCCAATATGAATATCTGTCTACGCTTGAGTGCCTTGAAGTTTTCCCTGGGGAACTCCACCATTGCTACCGCGCTACTTCTTATCGGCTTATTCGTTATTTGATGAAAATTTTAACTCTTTCTCATTAGATGATCTAAGAAAAGTTTGACTATCATTATTTTTACTAAATACCTTGTCGCAGATGCTTTGTATTGGGAAAAAATGGCTTTACCTTTGGGAAAATGTTTCTGATTGGTCTTTTTATCTTTATATTTTGGGCGTGTCATATTCAAAAGCATGTTAATTATGACTAACTACACACAGGAAGCATGTTTTCTTGGTTAAAATATGTGAAAAAAAGGCCATACCCAACAATGACTTAGACGGCACTGGAGGCATGTAGGATCACTTGCTTATCTATCTGTCTATTCGCCTGTTCTATTCGCTATTGGACGTATTTTGTTATTAGTATGAATCTCAACGTTTAGTTCTATTAATACATTTAAAAGAAATATGCCTAATGCAACACTAATTAAATTATGTTCTATATTAATTAAAAATAGATTCCGATCCATAATGAGAATGTTTAGCTCTGATTTAATGTCAAAAGGCGTCACTAAACGATCATTGTTGTTTTACAAAAGCTTTGTCGTTTGTACCGTAACGTAGGCAAGTGCCTGTAACGTTACAACTCAAGTCCCCAGTGACTTATTGTAAAAAGGAAAGTGTGTTTTACGTTTGCTATTGAACTGTTGCGCGAAATAAAAGGATGGATTATATAATGTAGCTCTTTCGACTTTTGTTAACGCAACTCTCGAAATCATGTTGCATCTTCTAAATTACGTAATTGCACAGTCTAGTTGACACATCAACAAATAAAAGACCAAGAAACCGTATAGAATTTGAGATTTTACTAACTAGATAAATAATTAGATTCACAAAAACATCTATTACTTTACATAATACAAAGGTTTCTTTAAAGTTTTAGTAACATTTTCAGTCATTTGTAACATCAGCACAAGCTCTATCTATGTCGGTAAGTCTATTAACAAGCGAGTATCAGAAGAATAAATACTTCATAATCGAATTCTGATTATTTTCGTTCCATGCACATGAATGGAGGTTTTATTTGAAATTTATTTGACAGCACTATTGCAAAATCTGATTTTCGTTTTGGTTTGATCATTGTCACCGACCTATAAATATCCTACCTACCACCTCCTACCTACAAACCTGTAAATATAACCTACAATTTGACATACTATTACTTTCGAAATACCAAAAAGATAATAAAGAAAAAAAAATGTTTTGTCTACTCATATGATTTTGTTGCTCATGGGCACAATACTTAATATATTCTATCGTAAATCGGATGTGCTGAGGACTGGTAATCAAGCTAAGTCAGAGGCTTGTTGAAATTTTAAAATATTGACCAGGTTGTTTGGTTTTTGGTGCGCCGGTATCGCCAAAGCTAAAACAAATAAGAAAGTTCACATGATCAAACATCGTAAACACTAAAGCCCTGTTATTCCAAATAACGATACTACACTGCACCCTATAAGGGTTTGCCAAGCCAATAAATTGTCATTTGTAGACAACGAAAGAATATTAGACGCGGCCCATTTTATTGCAAACTTCCCTCTATTTTCGTTTTAACACCAAAAATCGCCAACTTTCTTATACAAAAATAGATTCATCAATTTTATTAGGGTCTTGTCATAGCCAAGACGAGAATTTGTAAAATATTTTTCGATAGATAAAAATCACATTAAAAAGTGTGATTTTTATTTTCTTCTAACGAAAAAAAATTTTCTGCTCCATCCACCATCCATCTAATCATCACCATCATCATTTTTTTGTGAAATTTTCCTATTTTTATAGGGAAAATTAATAAATACTAGTTTTCCGCCAGCGGCTTCGTCCGCGTGTCTTGTATTATATATAAAAACCTTTCTTTTGAATCACCTTATCTATGAAGTAAAACCGCATCAAAATCCGTTGCGTAGTTTTAAAGATTTAAGCATACACAGGGATATAGGGCCAGAGAGCAACTTTGTTTTATACTATGAGGTGATGTGTGTCACTTTTTAGCTTAAGACTACGTAGCACTTTTACAATTAGCGCAATAATTTGTGAGTTTCTGATGCGTAGCACGCAATACTCTGTCCCTGTCAATCTTATTGACGGATATGTGATGTCGTCTCATTATTTCTTTTGATGAGACGCCATACCTTAAACACATATCATAATTTAAACTGATGCCGTCACTAGTAACGATTAAGACACTGACACTTTCGCATTGATATTTTTTTTGCTGTGATTAGAGAAAAAGTTAAAAATGCAACCGCGTAATTACAGTAATTTGTTTTAATATTACGTCACTCCTTGCTATACTAAACGTTCGAGGATAACGTCATCGTTTCGATTATTCAAAATATTTTATATTAGAGGGGTAGGTCGGCACCCATGACAAATTGTTCGG